AACAGACCCCTGGGCGGGGGGCAGGGAGAGTGACCCCCAGCCCCCCCACAAACAGACCCCTGGACGGGGGGCAGGGAGAGTGACCCCCAGCCCCCCCACAACATACACTCTCGGGGGCTGACAAGGAGAGTGACCCGCCCTGCCCCCTCCCCACAAGCAGACCCCCGCGTGGGGCCCAGAGCCTGCCCTTGGCGGTGGGCTCCTCGCCGCCCCCACACTGCACCTCTCCCCGGCTCAGCCGCTGCTTTCCCGGGCCGGGCTCTGACTCGAGGCCGGGGATGCGCGGCCTAGCCCTCCCGCCGGCTCCGGCAGGCCCACAAGCCCCACTCGAGCCCCGCGCGCACCTGCCCGCGCCGCCGCCGCCGCCTCGGGTGCCCTTCCCGCGCCAGGCCCCACCGCCCGGCCCCAGCCCGCTCAGGGAACCATTTTGCCCCCCCCCAGCCAGAGGTTAACCCCCCCCCCAAAAAACCCGGCCTGTCCCCTGGGGGGAACCCCACGAGCAGGCCTGGCCCGGGGGTGATGTAACCCCCCCATAGCAGGGAATTCAGGTGTGGGTGGGGGACCCCCCCCGCCCCCCCGGAGCCGGCCGTGGGTGGGGGACCCCCCCCGCCCCCCCGGAGCCGGCCGTGGGTGGGGGACCCCCCCCGCCCCCCCGGAGCCGGCCTGCGGCGAGGGGTGGGGAAATTCAATACTTACTCAGGGGTGGGATGTTCCGGATCATAGAAATCCCCCATCTTCGGCCTCCCCCTGGATCAGCGGCAGCGAGGATCCGAGCAGCCCCCGCCCCGCATAGAGAGAGAGAGCGGGGAGGGTGTCAGACAAACGCCCCCCCCCAGCCCCTTGCTCCGCTCCGCCGGGTCCCCTCGCACCAGAGCCGCCAAACCACCTCCGGGATGCGGGGGGGGCTCGGGGGGGTGCGCGCTGTCCTGCCCCAGCTGCCGCCTTCACATCCTCCTCGCCCTGCCCGGGGGTGGGGACACCACAGCGGGCCCCGGGGGCTGTCCCGGCGGCGGGGAGTGCCTGGGGGTCGGAGGGGGGGGGGTCTCAGGGCTGATACACCGGCCACCCCCTTGCAGCCAACAACACGCTTCCCATGCACCGAAATCCGCCGCCTCGCCTCAGGGCCAGGAACCTGCTGCTGCTGCTGCCCAGGCCATGGGGCTCCCCTCCATCCCGCGGGGGGAGGGCGCAGGAAGAAGCCAATTTATAATTAGCCCTAATCCTCTCCCTCCAAAAGCGATCGCCTTGCCGGGGTGGGCTGTGTCCTCCACGGCCCCACCCCAAAGAGGAGCCACTCTTCTTCCCCAGGAAATAATCCAGCCAAGCAATGAAATGAAATCAACCCCGCTGAAAACCTCCTTCCCTCCGTAACTGTAAATCCTCAAGTTTAGACGTGTCTCTCCCGTCGCGGATTCGGTTTCGGCTCCTCTTCTGCTCTAGGTGTCCGATCCGATTCCCTGGAGGAAGGGGGGCAGGGGGGTTTCACAGCCCCTTATGATGGAGTCCTGGGAGTTAAAAGTGGATTCTATTTGTAATAGCTCTCCCCTCCCCCTTGCACTGTATTTTTCCTCTTGAGCGGTGGCTGAGCTTAGAGGCTTCTTCCTCGCTCCCTCCTCCTCCTGCTCTGAAACACAAACGGAAACTGTAACTCATCTACTTCCTACTACGAGAGAAACAGCGACAAGGCCCCAAAGCAAGCAACTGCCATAAATGCAAGCGGCTGCTCCTTCCCTGCAAGGTAAAGAAGCAATTTCGTGTCGTGGAAACAAACATGGAGCAGGAAGCTCATTATTAAAGGAGACATGCCTGGTTTGGGGCTTGTATTGAAGCTCAGGTTTTTCTTCCCCGATGAGTAGTTTGCAGCCTTTTTTTTTTTTTACATTTGGGAACTAGGAGCATTGCCCTCTCCCTCCTAAAGTACCTGTTCCATGGATATAAACATTCAGTAATTTCCCCAGCCCAAGGGCTGTATTTGTGTCTTCTATAGATTTTCTGAGAATTTGCATAATTACAACACATTATTTACCTCCATCCACAGCGTTGGTACTTTTACTTGATTTTCCTCCTCTTGAGTAGCCACTGCACAGCTTGCCCCCAGTTTACAGGAAAAGGTAGACTGGTGCATTTTAAGGCTATGATACTACAAGTCACTCCTGTGGGTGGATTTATTAGTCAGTGGACATGGTAGTCCTCCCATGCAGAGTCAAGTGGCACCACAGGACACAGTCAGGTTAAAAACCATATTTTTGTCAAGTGTTGTAGCCGTGTTGGTCCCAGGATATTAGAGAGACAAGGTGGTGAGAGACACAAGCTTTCAGAGCTCTGTGTAAGCTTGAGAGCGCTTGTGTCTCCCACCAACAGAAGTTGCTCCAATAAAAGATATTACACCCCACCCACCTTATCTGTCTAATATTTTTATCAAGGACATTTCTTTACCCATGTTAGCATCTTAGCTTCTTATTAATAAAAAATATTTAGTACTTACAGAACACATCATGACAAAGCATCCTGTGGCACCTTATAGACTAACAGACGTATTGGAGCATAAGCTTT